CATCCCTCACATAAATAGATACATAGCCAGTTCCCAACTCTTTCAGGATTCTGCTCAAATTATTTCATCTATGTCATCACCACTTAAAAACAAACAAAAAAAAAAGACAACCCTGGAGCCTCCCTGGTGGCACAAGGGGTTAAGTCTCAGCACTATGAAGTTATTGGCAGCCACTGAAGCACAAGTTCAATCCCCAGCCAGGGAGCCAACTCACATGGCACAGCAGACCTCTCCCGTCTCGTTGAGAGCAATGTATTTCTGTCAATCTGCCTGTTCTGCTTCTCACTGTGTCTCTGGTGAATCCTCTCACCCCTCACCTCCTACCCCTGCACCTCTGGCCTACGCCCAGCTCTTGCATGCATAAATAAATAAATCTTTGGGAAAAAGAAAAAAAAGCAACGACCCATCCCTTAGTCTGTTTTATTTAACTCCTTTATATTTATTATCATCTAACATATTCCAATTTATCTTTAATTCTAACATGTACTTTTCTTCACATTGTGAGATGAATTCTGATTTTAGAAATGTTAAAACCAGTAAGGTCCTACAATCTTTGACCACCAGGTGGCAGTCATCAGGTACAACTGGCTACAAGCACAACCCTAAAAACAGCTGTTCTTAATCAATCCTATTAAGTTAGGCATACTGTGGGCACTGCATGTACTGAGTTTCAGTGCCCTTTAAAATATCTCTTGATTTAGATTGTAACCAAAAAAATTTCTGTATATAATATCTATCAAAAATTTAAATTCACAGGATTTTTTAAATTATCAAACAATGTGGAATAACCAGAATTCTCATAAACTGCTGGTAAGTGTGTAAATGAAAGAGTAATTTTGGAAAACTGTTTGGTAATATATACTAAAGTAGACCATATGCATATTCCCAGCAAGTTCAAGCCTACATATACACCCAACAGAAATGCACACATTTGTTTAACCAAAGATATATACAGGTATGTTCACAGCAGCATTATTCATAATTAGCTCAAAACTAGCAGCGAACCAAATACCCACCAAGAGAAGAATGGATAAATTCTGGTATATTCACACAATGGAATACTATGGAGTGAACAAATGACAAGTACACCCACAATATGAATGAGTCTTACAATATAAAGTTGAGACTCAAAAGAATGTACACTTGTATAATTTCATTTCTATAAAGCCCAGAAACAGGCAAAATCAATTTAATGGTGTTAAGTCAGGAGAAAAATAGTGAAGGGGCAGACTTTTAGGCATTAAAAATATTCCATTTCTTGATATGGATGCTGGTTACATGTATTCATTTTGAGACAATTCACAAAAGTTATATACTTAAGATTATCAACTCTTCTATATATATATGTTAAATGTCAATAAAATGTATTAAGTTTTAGCATAGGCAGAAAGGCAAATAGCAAGGAGATATGAATTTGATATCAGAGAAGCAAATATTTTTCAATGCAGAAACACCTTCAGCCATTTTTGTACAAGACATAAAAAGTTCCCACAAATTGAGGAAGTTGGTTTACATTTTATTGTTAAAATACATACAGTGGATTCCTATCACAAGTCAAGTAATGCACCTGAAGGAAGGAAAGATGCCAAAATAAATACCTTAGAATGAGTGAAAGAAATTTCAAAGCAACAGAAAGATTGAATTACAACTCATACAGGACTATTGCCAAGGCCCCGTGTTTCTGTCTAATGAGAAGCATTTATTTTTTGTTGGTGAACATAAAATAATGGTGAGTCTTACAAATGACAGCTTGGATTAGGTTATAAGTATGGTATGATATGTAGATATAGATATATATACATTTTTTCCCTTGCTTGTTTGTCAAGCACAAGCCAATACAAGCACAATGCAAGGCCTATGAAGGTTATACAGATGAAGCACACAGTCCTGACTTTATAAGGTTTATCTTATGTATTAAAGGAGCTAAGACAACCATACAAACAGCTATTATATTGACTTAGAAAGGTATTAATGGTATAAGTACAAAGTTTTTTTTTTTAAAGCACACAGAAAGGGAAATTTCTAATGTTACTGATAGTAGAAAGTTTCTCAGAATGATCTAGTACTATGCTTTCCAATTGAATATCCAATAGCCAGTTATGGCTATTTAAATTAAAATTAAGTAAAAATGAAAATGTCAGTTCCTCAGTAGGACTTAACTACATTTCACTTGCTCAGTAGCTTGTGAAATGTGGCTAGTGACAATTTTACTGGACAGTGTACAGAACACTATCATCTTTGCAGAACATTGTTTGACACTGATCTAAAGTATCTAGGAGTTAGAAAGTGGTATAGTATAAGCACATATAACAGTTTATCTAGGCTTTGAGAAAACAGCTTTTTAATTTTGTGTTCATTTTTCCATATTTCCTTTCACATCAGAGTAGTAAAACCAGATAGTTCAGCTCTGGGAACCAAGTTCAGAATAGAGTTAAAAGAATATTCACAGGTTCACCGGAGTCCAACTTAAGTTGACCAGAGTTAAAATTTACTCAGAGTTTTAGCTAGAAACAAAGGATTGTTGTGTTTAATCCTTTAACAGCTAACTGAGGGTGGTTTAGGGGTTGAGGATATAACTTGGATATCAGTCAATGAATATATTTATGGAAGAATGCATTCACTAAGAAACATTTGCTGAGCACCTGCTAAGTTATTTCTATTAATTAGTAGAAATAAAAGCATTTAAACCACTAACTCTATTCAGAGTTAATAGCTTAATAGTTTAACAACTTCAAAGTCCTAAGAAGGGAAGAAACCAACAAATTTCATTAGATCTGTGTTTCTGTAGAAACAAGAAGGAAGGTATCAATGTGATGTCTCCAGAATATTCTAAGTGTAGTTGATTCCTATGGTGCCCAATGTCCATTAAAGAAACAGACTAAAAGGTATCAAACCTACAGTAAGCTATAAATGAAATTTTTAAAAACCCTTGTCAAAAATATTATAATCTCAAAGAACATCCCCCAAAAGAAACAATCAAAGAATCAACATTTACCAAACAACTACCCAACAGAAAAGTTATACGGGACATAAAGATAATCAGGCATCTAGGAGCTTTTTATTTACTAGGGAGGTGAAGTGTTCATGGACAATTACAGTGCAAGTGAGTATTTTTAAGTGGTATACTCAGGGAAAAAATACAGCACAAACTTAAAATTGAAAGGACACTGGAAGTCTTTTTATCCTCTCTCTTATCTGGAATCCATTCTACAGTATTCTTATAAAACATTATTAAGCCTAAGTATACCGGGAATGAAGATGTCACAACCTCATAGACAGTTCAGAAGCAACTGAAGATAGGAGCCAACAGAAGTTGAAGACAAGAGTTACCATTCAGAGATATGAGATGATGCTTAGAAATAAGGTTCTGAAAGACAAGCGAATATCAGTTATAACACTAAGGAGGTAGAATAATACACTAAAGTACCCCTACAGCCTCGGGTCCACATGACACAAATCCAGGGGGAAAGGAATGAGATACTGTAAAACCAATTAAATATTTTACTATGGAAAAGGGGGTAGGAATAAATCAAGGCAACATTCTGTAATTTATCTACTCCCTGAACATCCCCCTCCCCTGGCCCTCTGCCTACCCTGTCTGTACACTACATTTATTCCCACCTGAGGAAAGAGAGGTAGAGAAACCAGTATTTACTCAGCAGTTACTGTATGTCAGGCATGGTGCTAGTTATTTATCATGTATCATTTAATGTATACTGAACAAGAGCTTAACTGGCGCTCCTCAGAGATGATTTCAAGGAAACTATCTGGTGTAGAATCCAAATCTAACGTAATATTTTAGAGACATTTAGAAGACAGCTTGATGAAGAGGAAAGAATAGTAGACATCTGAAGACAGAAGGTTTGGACTGGAGTTCTGGTCCTGCATTTCTGGGACTTTGCAGAGGTTGCTGGGCCTCTGTGGATCTATCCCATCTACCTTACAAGTTGTTCTAAGGATAAAAATGGAATAACATGTAAAGGGACTCTGTAAAATACAACACATCACTGATATTGATTATTCATCTAACAAATATTCTCTGAATAGCTGTACTACTTTAGTCTCAGTGGTGAAAAAGACTAGCAAGGTGCTTGCTCTCAGTAGGAGGGAGGCAGATAATAAACAAATTGAACAAGAGTTTTCAATAAAAAGATGATGAATGCTCTAAAGAAAATAAAACAGTATGATGTGAAGAAACATGACTGGGAAAAAGGGAGTAACTTCAGATGAAACAGTCACAGTAGGCCTAGCTGCAGTGACATTAACTAAGACTTCAAAAATTTCTTCAGTCAAGTGAAAAGCTCGGAAGCAAATGTTCTAGGCAAAAGGGACAAGACAAGCAAGGCATGTCTGAAACACTAAAAAAATTAAGTGTGTCTAGAACACAAAAAGTGAGAAAAAGTCTTAGGAGATAAGGCTGAAAAAGTGGACAGTGACCAAATACAGTATGATCCTGGGCCATTAAAAAGATGCATTAATATAAAGCGCTCCTTTTTATCAACATTGCCCAATAAATTGAGCCACTTATACCAATATCTGGTGTAGACATTATCAAAAGTAGGACATTTTCAACTTCACTGAGTCTTGCCATCACCAAAAATGAAGTGGAAAAATGCTATACAATGGTGATTGACATAAAATTCTTCAGAACTACATCTAAAACAAGATATCACTTATCACAATGTTTGGTAAGTCAGTCAAAAGATTATATAGAAAACAGAAGTTAGAGAATTTGAGTTGGAAAAATTCTAAGGTTTTTAACAGAAAAATGATCAATTCATTCAGCAAATATTTACGAAGCACCTACTAAGGGCCAGGCATGTTCTAAGCACTAGAGATTCAGCGTGAACAAATAAATGAAGATTTGTGCAATAACTGAGCAGAAGGTTTAGCTGTTGAAGCATCGTAATACTAGAACTTCAACGAACTTTATGTCTCAGCATGTTCTAAAACAGTAGTGATAAGTTTAGTCATATGTACCTGTCAAAAAGCAAACTTACCAAGGAATTCTTAATAACTTCACTTCTATAAAATTCTGAAAAAGAAGAAAAAATAATAAGTGATATGGAAGAAAATAAGCTTATTAACTCTTAACCCTGTAAATGTTTCAATCATATGTTCCATGAAGACATTTAAAACATTTTAAAGGAATCTATTTTTTTCTTTATCCTTATCTATAAAAAATTAAATAGAAATAAAGATTTTTAAAAACATTTTAAAGGGGAAAACATTAGTAAAGAAAAGTCAAAAACAGTTAAAATTGAAAATAGTGATTTTTACCTTACTGTCTTCCTTTTACCCAGATTCTAACTGGAAACTATAAAAACTCTCTTCTCCCTCACCTACCACCACACTCTACAACTAATTCTATATGCTCTGTTTTTCTCAAACATCTCTAATGATTACGCATTGTTTAGTACTGTAGGGATGAATAGCGATCCAGCAAGCAGGAAACCTACATTCTAGTTCCACCTATCCTTAACATTCTGTCGTTAACTGCTCTGGGCTCACCTTCTTCACTAGAAAATTAGAGAGACTAATCATCGATGGTCCCCTGTAAGCATTATAAATTCATGACTCCACAAATCTTCCTGTATACCAGTAAATGTTACAAAAACTAAAGACACAATCAAAACAGAGAAATGTGTCAGAGGTTCAAACTGGCATTTTCAACAACCCTCCAACATTCCTGCTGCTGATCCTGCCGAAGATACCTCCATGATGTCACTGCACAGTAGACAAGGAGCCTTGTAGGCTTATGTTACTATAGCACAGTGTTTTTCCCACATGTCATATACATACTATTGGTCCTTGAGGTGATTTTAATTATTTCTAATTATTGAAATGTATCTCACTTATCTCCAACTCCTAACTGTAAGCTCCATAAGAACATTTATTTTGTAGAATTGCTCAGCATTTAAAACCATTCCTGGCAAAATATAGACACTCAACAAATTCTTTTTATAGAACCATTAATTTCACAGATTATATTTATTTATTTATTTTTAAAGATTTGTTTATTTATTTATACAAGCACTGGGTACAGTCAGAAGCGCGGGAGGGTGAGAGAATTCACCAGAGCCAGAGCGGGCACAGAACAGGCAGAGTGACGAAACACACTGCTGAGGGGAGTAGTGGGCGGCAGGAGAGGTCTGCGTGCCATGTGGGACCCTCGCCGGCAGCCGGGGATCGAACCGGCGCTGCAGAGGCTGCAGGCAGCTTCGCAACCCAGCACTCAACTGCTGCGCCACTGGGGAGGCCCCACAGATTATATTTAAATGTAAGTTTAAGAATAATGATGCATTTAAAAATATATTAAGTATGAAACTCAAATACAGTGAAGTTTGTCAAAGTGGTCCACCAATAACTGAAGCTTGGGTATCATCATACAGTAAAAGAAGTAGATTAAACATCAAACTCTGATGGGCAAGTACTTTTGGCTAAAGCACTTCTTGACATATACCATCTATATTACTCTATGCTTGCTTTCATTTCACAAACAAAAAAGATCAAGATTTCATGGAGAGAGAGAGAAAACAGGCTCTAAGAATTTACAACAGGATCCAAATATTCTTCATTCTGTTAAAACATGTATTTTAGGATTAGGTTGCAAACTTTTCTTTTTTCGTTGGCAGTTTTCTAATGTTTCTATTTTAAACAATTATTTTAAATAAGAAAAGGGATGATTCTAATTGTTTTTAAAAAAGAACCTTCTGATGAACAATCTTTTAAAGTTTTATATTCAAGGCACTTGAATCTGTAGTATAAACTTTTAGAAGTAAAAAATTGCCAAGACAAAAGAACAGTTTGAATTTGATAAATTTTGCCAAACTGTTCTCGAAAAGCCATTATTCCAACTTACAATCCCATTATGAAAACATCCAAAGTAATCTTAAGAATAATTTTTTTTATTTTTCTCCCTAATAGTTAACCAATTACTCCAACATGAATTGACTATATAAATGTAAGCCTCTATGTATGTGGAGATATATACTTATATTAATTTATAAGTACCATGTATATTTTTAGGGGAAAAAAGACTAAAGGGGCTAAGAAAAGTATTTTTTATTACAAGGCAGTTTCATTTTATAATTAGTACATTTTGTATTGTTTAAGTATGTAGCAAATAAACCAATGACAAGAAACAAAGAGAATATTTCTTTTGAGAGAAAATTACTCAGCTAAAGCTGCAACGTATCTAAATTAAACAGTTCCCAAAAAACATATTCTGAGCGCAAAGAAGATGAAGAGTATCATTATTTCTTCCCAAACACTGCTGACAGAGTCTATGAAAAAATAAACTAAGCAATTTGCCTTCTCCATTAGACCTTCAAAATGAATTTCCTAATTAAACAGAGAGAAGTAAACAAAGAAATCATATGACTTGGGTGTGGGGGGAACAAATGTGAGGTAATTTCCAACATGGTAATAAACATGAGCCTACACGATTTTTTAATTTTTGTTTATTTTTTATTTTCTTACATCTTTGTTCATTGATGTACAGTACTTAATTTCTCCCCTTAGGTGTAGTCCCCATAGTTCTCCCACCATCACAGCACCCCTGATCCATCTCCACAGTCCTTTGTGCTCTTCCCTTCCTTCTTTTGACCCCTCTTCTTCCTCCTCCTTCCTCATCAGATCTATGGTTTGCCTGCAAGTTTTATCTTTTTCCTGACCCTCTATCTGATTTCCCTACATTCCACCTATAAATGAAAACATCCGGTATTTTTCTTTATCCTTCCGTATACTATTATTTTGTTATACCTAAAATATTTTCAATAAAATTAGCAGCATGGCGCAGAATAGATTAGTGAATTCTGGAGATTTTAAAGCAAAAAAATAGTTCCATCTGCTCCAGTCCCCAATCTAGTATGTATAACCTTGACCATAGACAAGTAAATGAATCTTTTTGAGTCATAGTTTCTTTATCTTTCAATTGAAAATGACACCTGGGCTGCCGTGATGCTCAAATGAAATAATTAAAAATACTTTACAAACTATAATTTTTATTAGAACAGTTCTATTCATTTTTATTAATTCAATTTGAACAAAACTATTGGAAAGTATATTTTCAAGAAGATATCATTCAAGTCCTATTTTCTATTCATGCTAAGACCTAAAGAAACAAAGGAGAGATTAGAGAGAACTGTTCCTATGGCATCTTTTGGCTATTATGTAACATTCCTTTCATTCAACAAATGCTCCTGTAGTTCCTCAACTTCCTTCATATTACAAGAAAAACTAATTTAAACTATACTTTGAAACATTTTCCCCCTATCAGATTGGCAAAAAATCAGAAGCTTGATTACACAGTATGTTGGCCAGACTGTAGGGGGAAAAGCACTCATCCATAGCAAGTGGGGCTGTAAATGAGATAATTTTGCAATATGTACCAAAATTACAAGTACATACTTTCTTCACACTTCCATTTCTTAGATTATACCCTATAACTATAACTATACTAACACTCATGCAAAATAACGTACTTATAAAGTTGTTCAATGTGGTGCTGTGTGTATAGCAAAAGACTAGAATAGCCTACCTGCCTACCAATAGGAGCCAGTTAAATAAATTATGGTATAGCTACTCGATACAAACTACACAGAAGAAAAGTCAGGGAAGGTCTCTATGAACAATATGGGAAAACATCTAACATCAAGTGAAAAATGCAAGTCACAAAAATATATATAGTTTGGTACTATTTTTTACTTGTATTTGCATAAAGAAGTTAAGGAAAGTATAAAGAAGAATAACAGTAGTCATCAGCATGGAGTGCATATGGGAGACAAGTGAAAAGTAAGGCTTTAATAGTATAAAAGGGTTAGTAAGTGATCAAGGAGAGTTTCTCTGAGCAAACATTCAGAATGGAGATCTAATAAAAGGTGGAAGCAGTTGTCATGAGGATATGTGGAGCAACTAGTGCCTAGGGCCAAAGTACAGTCAGTGCAGAGGCCTTTAAATTTAAGTAAACTTGATGTTTTCAAGAAACAGCAAAAAGGTCAGGGTGATTTACCAGAGAAAACTTGTTGCAGGAGATATGTCCTGAAGGATAACAGTCACATCATGACAGGTGATACAGCTAGCGTTGAGAAAGAACTGGTCTTCTAGCATGATGATTCTACACCAAGGGCCACATAATACTCATGAAATGGATATATGAGTCTGTCTTCCCAAATCCAAGAAGATAAGGCAGTGTTAGGTTTACCAAGGAAAGAGCTTCCTGGCTCCTCCTACAGTATTTATTAGAGTGCAACATGTACCCTAAGAAGAAGGCCATGAAGAGACTTCATTCAACCCTGACGTTTTAGAACAAGACAGAGTCTCGGAAATCCTCAAACTTTTCATTTCAGAGATAAATTAACTAAAGCCCACAAGAGAGACTAAATGTCCTAGCCAAGGGGCTTGCCAGATCGTGAGCGATTCAGCACCATAACCAGACACTAGACTTCCCTGTGGTCTGTTCACCAGCTATTCCCTAACTGTGTTCATGATCACTTTTGGGAGAACTTTTTTGAGTCTATGACAGCTTCTAAATTCAAGCTGTAATCTGATTTAGAAGACAAAATTAAATATCACTTCTTGATCTTCTGGCTAAGATCAAGTGTAAAAGACAAAAATAAAGATAAAAAGTCACTTTGGTTTCATCACGTCTCTAAACAAATATTTGCATTATGGTCATCGGTGTCTTTTTTTGACTACTGTCTTTTTAGAAGCTGCATTAGGATTGTTGACAATACAATTTTAATAATAATTGCTATCATTTACGAAAACATAAAATACGCTAAGTACTACGTTAATTCCTATTATCACAAGAAATGCTCGAATAAGGGCACAGGCATTTTTAATAAAGAACTAATTATATAGAAACCTATCAAAAATTTAAAATCCTCTGGGCTTATATTGCTAGCGATAAAACCAACTAGTTGAACGGTAGATCAAATGTATTAAGATCTTCAAAAATATTTATACCCTTGAGCCAAATAGTAACCAATAGAATGAGTCACTTTCCTTCTGGACACATAAAAAGACATTTCCCAGTCTCCTTTTCATCTTAAAAAAGAGCAATGTGACTGATTTATGGCCAGTAGGATATAGCAGAATTGATGCGGGCTATTTCCATTAAAAAACTCTCCCTCAAATAATCTTCTCTTGCCATCCAGACGCCATGTGTTGAGGAGAGCAGATCCCAAAATAGAAGGAGTCTGGATACCTGACTCAACACAAGATAGTACCTTATAAATAACACCCTTATTGGGGTTAAGTATAAGAAATGTATTATGGTAGGTCACTGAGAATTGTGTCATCTGTTATAATAGCAAGCATTATTCATTTAGATTAATATACTTGTTTTAAAAATATGAAATGGTCAGAATGAAAAATAAAAATGAAATAAAATTACATAAAAATGATAGTATTTAGATTCCTTTTTTCACCATTAAAATTATTTTAATACTACCTTTACATTTACATGGGGAGGGGGGATTTCTATCTGCTTATTGATTGAATTTTTTAAGAGCAAATACTGGAATTGAAATTTTTGGAAAATAGTTGTTAAACAACTGCTGGAAGTCCAGGAAGTCCAGCCCACTGTTCCTGTCTTATACTAATCCACATATCCTCTCTTATACCACCCTTCATAGGACAACTAATTACATCATTCACACACACAGATATACACACATCTACTCAGTATGTATCTGTGATTTTAAATTAAATATTTGGTTAATTCTTTAAACACTAACTTATGGAATAATTTGCAGTATAATTTGCAAAACTGATTAAAAGAAACCATGACTTTCTTCTAAATATGGCCCTTTGTAATTACACATCTGAAGAAATATAAAGTAGGTTCCAATTTTACCATAATATTAAAGAAATCAATTACATTTTATTTATTCATTTATTTTTTTTATGGGATCCTCGCCGGTGGCCGGGGATCGAACTGGCGCTGCAGAGGCTGCGGGCAGCCTCGCAACCCAGTGCTCAATCACTGCTCTAGCAGGGGAGGCCCAAGAAATCAATTACATTTTAAAGAAAGACAAAATCAGTACAGGATACTAGATTCATATTTTCTATATACAATATATGTACTAGAATAAATGTATTAATTGCTTACATTCATAAAGGAATGACAAACTTATCCATGTAAGGCTCAACTATGTGAAAGAACAATCCAATAGCCATGTTTCTTTAATATACACAACTGCTAGTGAAATACAATTTAGTTTTCCAAAAGGCAATAACAGAGAATCATTTTATCAAAATGATTAAAAAGAATGAAATTTAAAAAAGAAAATGAGATGTGTGAGTCCCTTACCTTTATATATCTTTTCAGTACTACACAAGTGAAGTGTGAAGTAGGTGTCAAGGAGTTGATGACCATTTCTATTAACAATGTTCCGGGCAGCAATATTCCGAAGATGTCTGAGACGCCGCTAAAAATTAATAACAAAGAGAAAGGGGTATTCAGCTTTTTCTGCCTATAAAATTCTCTGAAAGTTACAATTCAAAACTAAAATATAACAGACGTCCTAGTCATGTATTTGTTGAGTTAGCAACCTTAACTTAGTCTCTTATTTAAGCCTCAGCATTCTGGTTTTTAAACAGGAATTAAATCAGCCCTTTCTCAGACATACAAGGAATCCAAACAGGGAAGGAAGAGGTCAAACTATTACTATTCACAGATGATAATATACATAGAGAACCCCAAACACTCTATAGAAAAATTAATTAAGCTAATCAATCAGTTTAGTAAAGTAGCAGGATACAAAATCAACACACAACATACAAAATCAGTTGCCTTCCTATGGGCAAACAATAAATCTGAAGAAGAAATCAAGAAAACCATCCCTTTTATTATTGAAACAAAAAAAAATTAAATACTTGTGAATAAACCTAACAAAAGAGGAAATGGACCTATACAAAGAAAACTATAAAACAAAGAAAATTATAAAACTATAAAACTGTTAAAAGAAATAGAAGAAGACACAAAGAAATGGAGAGGCATCCCCTGCTCATGGATTGGAGGGAAGGAGGAATTAAGGTCAAAATAAGAGGGGGTGGGAATTGTATGGGGACTATAACCAAGATGAAAATGCATACATTGTGCAAAAATGAAAAATGATGTAAAAATTATATAAAATAAAATATTAAATAAATTTAAATAAATAAATAAATCAGCCCTTTCTCATTTACAAGGTTTTTATAAGCATGAAATGACAACAGATTATAAAATATTTTCAAAAGGCATGAATATAAGTGCTGAATACTGAAGAATAGCATGTTAGTATTTCCTGGAACATAAACTAAGTAGTACTTTGTATTTTCTTCAAAAGGATGCTGATGGACATACAAAGTCCATCTCATAGTTTAACAGGGTGGTCCCCAGGAAAGGGGGAGGTTCCCAGTTCCCTGCCCCACCCAAATGGAGGGTGGAGCTGAGCAGAGAGAGAAGAAGCTGCAGAGGAGACTGAGGAAGGAAGCAAGATGGAGCCACAAGGAGACCTGGAGAAGGTGCATGGAGCCTAGAGACATGTGAAGAAACTGTGCTTGTCTTTTGGTCGTAGACTGGGTGACACAGATGTGGGTAAGACCCGTGGGGAGGTGACAATGGCAGCTTATATCTTGATTTTGATTTTGCTCTTTTCTTTCTGGGCTTGTCTGGTTGTTTCTGACCCTTTTTTGTGGGTCCCCACTGGAAGATGCTTTAGACTTGTGGCAGGCTTTGGGGCCTTGCTCTGGGCCAATCCCATTTGGATGGAGTTTTACCCACAAGGGGACGGGTAACTTTGGGTGCTTGATTTAGAAACTAGATTCTTTGCCTTTCCTGTATTGTTTCCTAATTGTATTAAAGTTCCTTCCCATTAAAGTCTCATGTTTTGTGTTCATGTGGCGGATGGCAGAACTCTCTATAGAACAGGCAGGTTTGCGGGGTTTGGGCTGCCCCTCTCCCTGCCTTGTAACAATACCAACAGAAAATGAGCAGTTATTACACACATATGACCCTGTTGCTAGTTCAGTCTAGATTCCAGATCATGTGCACCAAACAGGAAGAGTTCAAAGCCAAAAAATAAAAGCAATAACCCATTGGCCACTCCATCCAACCAATAACCCAAGTGTTGTGAGATTAAATTAAGTGCTCATTTGAGCAATAGCTAAGCAACATTTCTTTCCTAATCAGGTACCCTTCCCAGCAACATCTCCAACATAAACAACTGGAAATCACCAAAAACATAAAATATGTTCAAGAGATAGCCAAATCATCTCATATCAAAAAGAGAAAAAAAGTTGTCAACGCTGAAGTCTGACACATCAGAGTCATTCCCTAAAGCTAGTTCCCTGAGTCAGTTAATTTTCAGAGACTTAAAAATAGAAACTAAGAGCTCAGTCTTAAAATATGCTTAAAGTATTCCCTTTGGGCTAAAAGACAGCCAATTCTACTGAGGTAAATCTATCTTCAGTTACCTGAGCAGTCACCCAGAAAAGCACAGCTCTTTTTTTCTATGCATGCCAACCTAATTCTTTCTCCCAAGCAAGAGATTAAAATTCTTTGAGAAAGGGGGTTATTGTCTAATAAATTTGCTTAATCCTACACGTATGAAAAGTCCCAATATATTTACAAAAAAGTTCCCAAGGGTTACTCTAAAAACTCATTGTTCTACAACCTGCCAACGGTTTCCATTTCACATTCTGGATTACAGCAACTGCTTTCCCCCTGCAATATAGTTTTCATTAGTCCTTACGGTCAAGAATTTAAGTTGACAGGAACCACCAACTGCCTATATATAATTATCACATCTATTTTGCTTTAAGATTTCAATCTTGGGCCTCCCTGGTGGCGCAGCGGTTGAGCGCTGGGTTGTGAAGCTGCCCGCAGCCTCTACAGCTCCGGTTCGATCCCTGGCTGCTCCCCGGCCACCGGAGGAGGGTCCCGCATGGCGCACAGACCTCTCCTGCCGCCCGCTGCTCCCCTCAGCAGTGTGCTTCGGTCCTTCTGCCTGCTCTGCTCCCCGCTCTGGCTCTGGTGAATTCTCTCACCCTCCCGCGCTTCTGACTGTACCCAGTACTTGTATAAATAAATAAATAAGCAAATGAATAAATCTTTGAAAAAAAAAAAAAGATTTCAATCTTGGTCCTCTGTTTAAAGACCTAAAAATATTACCCAAATTGCATGTGCTTATTTTTTTTGAATGCTGAGTAATATTCCATTGTGTATATGTACCACTTCTTCTTGATCCAGTCATCTATTTTTGGGCATTTGGGTTGTTTCCAAAGCTTAGCTATGGAGCTGGAAGGGATCATGCTCAGCGAAATAAGCCAGAAAGAAAAAGAAAAATACTGGATGGTCTCACTCATAGCAGGAATCTAGAAAATTTAAATAAGGGTCTAGGAAAAAGAGTAACTATAAGAAAGTAAATATCAAAATCAACAAACAACTATGAACCAGAGGCACTCTATGGGGTTTGGGGGGCGGGGAAAAGAGGGCTTGGGGTCAAAATAAGGGGGTTGTAATTGTATGGGGAATATAAAAATAAAATTTAAATTAAAAAAATTACCCAAAGTCTTTAAAATAAAATACAAACTTTTCACTGCTACTTTCAAAGTCCTGTGCAATCCAGCCTCTCCACATCATATCCTTACTACCCAGATCTTCCTTATGCCCAACCCACCCCTCAGTCACACATGGGGCTTAAAGTTCAAGAAAAAAATCATGTACATTTCCAGCTCATTGTTCTTTGCTCATGAGAGCCCTTCAATCCAGAATATTATTCTCTTTAAAGAGATCCTATTCATTCTTCAAAATTTTAGAGGGTTCTTCCTTCCAGATTCTCTAACTTGAGACTTCTTGATTACAATAGGTAAGAACTTTACTTCTATCTCTACTGTAGCACTTGTATTACAGGTAGTGGTTTACAGCTATCTTCCCTGTCTATCTCGCAAGAAAAGGCTTGTTGACATAGAAATTACCATCACTTATACTACTGGCATTTCTTAAATGCTTACCATGTGCCATAAACTGTGTTAAATACTTCATACATGTGATCTTATTTAATCCTCATAACAATCTTCATTATTGTTATTCTTATCTTTATCCCAACCTTTCTAAGTAAGCAAATATAAACAAAGAAACAAAACAGCAAATAATAAATGAAAGAGGTATCTTAAAAGCAAAGGAGTTATTACACCTACCTTATGTAGTTATATATGACTATACACCTAATAGACACAATTTGGTCCTTATACTCTCTTCTTCTATCACTACAGAGAACAAAGCAATAACTTCAATGAACTCAAGAAAACAATTTTATGATTATATAATCATAATGGAACTGCCTTACAATATTGCTGAAGAGATCTTCATATTATGTAGGAAGTTAGCATGACCACTCCCAAGGTACTTCCTGATTCAAAGCTCTAGGTTTCTTTTCTTTTTTTTTTTTTTAAGATTTATTTATTTATTTATTTATACAAGCACTGGGTACAGTCAGAAGCATGGGAGGGTGAGAGAATTCACCAGAGCCAGAGCTGGGAGCAGAGCAGGCAGAAGGACCGAAGCACACTGCTGAGGGGAGCAGCGGGCGGCAGGAGAGGTCTGCGCGCCATGTGGTTCCCTCCTCTGGTGGCCGGGCAGCAGCCGGGGGTCGAACCAGCGCTGCAGAGGCTGCTGGCAGCTTCACAACCCAGTGCTCCACCGCTGCGCCACCGGGGAGGCCCAAAGCTCTAGGATTCTGAAGTCAGCAGTAGAGTCTACAAACACTGATATGGGAGGATTACCCAAGTATTGTTATTGTTTCTGAGCATTTTATAAGTCCACAAAAATCAAAATGCCTCCATACAAATTAACCAACTATATTTAAAAACTGACTTTTAGTTGTTTATTTTTTACTTTATTTCAAAAGCATTAAAGCATTTTCATTACACCATGATTAATTAAAATACAAAATGCTCCCAGGGTTGTCCACTCCTGAAATGGACAAAGTAAATCAGCTCTTCATGGATAACTTACTGACACAGAGTCTCAGTAAAGGCAGTAAATGTTCACTTGAGCCCTCTTGTGCCCTTTGTTTTAGTTTCTTCTTTAATGAGATTCATTCCAATTTTTTCATAAAGCTGTTTTTTATTTTTCAAATGCTAAGTTGTAACAATGCCAAAACAAAAGAATATTTCATCTTGTTATAATTAAGTTATAATTGTAAAAATATTGTAAAAAAATTATTCAAAAATTTTATTCAGTTGTTTTTTAATATTGTTGACTAATAATTTATCCAAAACAAGATGATAAAGAGTAACATTCTAATGTAGTAGAAAGGTACAAAGAAAAGCTTCATTTTGTTAAACATCCTCATAATTTAAAAAATAATTGCTCTGTTGGGTCAAACAATTTTTGTTGATATAATTTTGATTATCACATCAGGGACAAAAAAGCTTAAAAATT